ATGTAAACTGTTTCTTCCAAGATGCCATTAAGAAAAGCATTATTCACATCCAATTGAAATAAATGCCAATTATAAGTAAGAGCAAGAGTAATAATAATGCGAATGGTGATCGGTTTAATAACAGGAGAAAATGTCTCATGAAAATCAAAACCATGAACTCGACTTTATTTTTGGCTCATAGTGAACCGAAAAATGTCAAACAGGCTCTAAGTGATCCAGATTGGTTTTCTGCCATGAAGCAAGAATACTCTGCTCTTTTGAAAAATCATACATGGGATTTAGTTCCCTTACCCTCTAATAGACAGGCTGTTGGGTGTAAATGGGTATTTCGGGTCAAAGAAAATGCAGATGGGTCTATCAACAAGTTTAAAGCTCGTTTGGTAGCAAAAGGATTTCATCGAGTTCATGGTTTTGATTTTCATGAGATCAACGTCCCTAGGAGGCAGATACTCCATGATGTCAACAACGCAACATTGTTCGAGTTCCCAGCAGCGACGGAGTGCCAGTTGGGTCCCTTCAAGACTGACTGGTGTGAGTTTCACAAGACTCACGGGCATTCTACGAAAAACTATTTCGTCCTTGGAAGACAGATCGAACGCTTGATCAAAGAGGGACGTCTGAAAAAGTTTGTGGTAAGAAAACCGGAAGAAGACTCATCGGATAGGCGACATAGGCATGTACAGGACGGCACGAGGAGGGATAGGCATAGAGAGAGGACTCCCCCCAAGGACACTCCAGCAAAGTCATCGGAGGTCCATCATCAAGAAATTCATGGGGATTTCAACACAGTGGCAGGAGGATTTGCAGGAGGAGGAGTCACCTCGGTTGCTCGAAAAAGGTACACTCGTTCCGTCCTGTCCATGTCAAAGGTTTTTAAAGATCCAATAATGGCCTTGATAACCAGAATTGGGTTCGGGGGCCGGTTACGTGTAGCGAAGGTATTAAGCACCCCTACAGCGCCCTCAATCGGTACCTTATGATGAAGTTAACATGATAAGAATTAATAAATTAAATATTGAATCCCCTTTATTAATATTTATTTACATATTGAAAAATTAAATTATACGAATAACTCTAAAATATCTACATGATTGCGTTCGTTATAAATAAAAGATAGAGATAAAGATGATAAATAAAAGATATAGAAGAAGATTGTTTGAAATACCTCTTGAACAAGCTCTATTGAATCTTCAAATATGGAGAAGGTGCTTTTTGAATCTTCAAATATGGAGGAGGTGCTTTATGGCAACCTTTCACACTACAATATGCCTCACAAATCTCAAGAAATACAATAGGAGAGAAAGAGAGAGAAATTTTGTGCTCTAAGGAGTCTTGGACGAAATTTTTGGGGCCCTGAGAATTGTTCTTGAGATTTCTATTTATAGGCATCAAATGTGGGCCGGAACGGCCCGTTCTGGATTTAGAACGGCCCGTTCTGGATTTAGAACGGCCCGTTCTGGATTTAGAACGGCCCGTTCTGGATCCGAACGTTATGTGTTAATTTTGACCCTAGAACGGCCCATTCTGAAATTAGAACGATCCGTTCAGGAAAACAGAACGGCCCGTTCTGATATGAGAACGACCTGTTCCGGGGTTCAAATTAACACTAAATTCCCTTCCCAGAATGGCCCGTTCCAAACTAGGTTTGTTAGGCCTTTTTAACCTTTTGGAACGGCCTGTTCTGGTTTAGGAACGACCTATTCCAGACCAAGTTTTTTAGGCCCTTTGATTGGTTTGGAATGGCCCGTGCTAGTTTGGAACGGCCCGTTCTAACCTATAATTTTTAGGCTTTTTAGGAGCCTCGGAACGACCTGTTTCAATTCAAGAATAGCCCGTTCCGGACTTGGGAACGGCCTGTTCTGATTTTGGAACGGCCTGTTCCGGGCCACTAAAAATAGTTGATTTGGGCTTTTGGGCCCTCTGATGTCCTATCTTGTTTTTTGTATGCCCCCGGATAAAATTGGGTGTCTACAAGCATTGTGTATGATTCCTCTTAATAGTCCCTCAGTCTCCATTGTATATATATTGTATGATACTTGTACATAGTAGTTACTTGTATAGGTATATTTTGCCTTTATATTTGTGAAGCACTTTCTTTCTTTTCTTATAGGTTATCCCTTTGGGATTTTAGGGTATGTTACTTGCAAACTTTTACTTCATTTGACCTTATATTAAGGATCATTGATTTTCATATTTTAGTAGTAGAAGTGATGTGACAAATAGTAAAGTGTGTAAGTGAAGCTAGCAATTGGGCCTATAGTGGGCCTAAGCTAATTTTTATATATTGGGCTTATTTTCTCCATTTAATCCAAGGAATTGATTTAGCTAGGTGTCACCTTCATTAGGTGAACCTAACTAAACCAATTCCAACATTTTTGGATTGGATTAAGTGAAGGAAAACAAGATGGGCCGCCTAGCTCTTCTAGCTTCTCCCACACAATTGGATAGCTTATGCTACAAGGTTCTAGCCTAGCTTGCTCCCCAAACTTCTAAGTTCGAAGCTTGTTCCACAAGCTTCCAAGTTACTAGACGGTTAGCTTGAGTGTAAGAAGGCTAACCATGGTTCTCTTTGAACCATAGTTAGTTTAGCTTGCACCACAAGTTTCTCCCTCACTATATAAGCCTTTTTCTTCACTTTGTAAACACTTTTGAAGCATATATTGACATAATTCCAAAAATTGTTCAGATTTTCTCTCTTCTAAAGTCTTAACCTTTTTTATTTTAATCCATTTCTCTTATCCTCTTCATACAAGAGTGTGGTGAGATTTGAAGTGGCTAATTTTCCTCCAAGGAGTCGCGCCACTTGAGAGTGTTCTTCATCATTGAAGGTGAAATCCGAAGCTTCTTTCTCCATTGGAAGAGTTGGAGAATTTTAAGGAGAACCAAGTAGGGGGAGCTTGAAGAGGAATCAACATCAATCCAGTTCCAAAGCAAGTTTCCATCACATGGTGGTGTCTAGTCTCAACAAACACACCTTGCCACATGGAAACCTCCTATTAGCTCTTCTAGATCTAGAATGGTGTCATGAGTCAATCTTTTCTTACTTTGCCACATGATAAGATCTCATTTTCCATTCTAGATCTAAGATAATGACATGTGGAGAGGTGTTGGCCGAATTTGAATTTTGACTAGGGTTAGTATTCTTGAGTTCAAGTTAACCTAGAGCCTAGGTTATGAAATAACCTAGGTTAGTTTAACTTACATCACAAGCCACTAAACATTATATATACATGTAACCTCACCTTGGATGAGTACTTTGGATCATTTTGTGAGAAATACAATCGAGTTTCCTCCTTTTAAAGTTTAGTTCTTCTCTCTCTTAAAGACACTTCTCCTTATGAACTTTTATTAAGAAATTTCTCTTTGTGACAAGTTTGTCTTTTCTTGCTCATCTTCTATTTAGAAGTGGCGTGTTCATTACTCTCCTTGTCCACCATTGAATTTTTGTTTTTAACCTTTTGAAATCCATGGAAGAAGATTGAAAGAACATTGGACCTAGTTTAGGATTTCACCAATCATATTCAACCTAGTTTCATCAAAGGTTCAAATTGAGCAATTTTAGTCCTAAAATATCGCAATTATGCAATTTTGGTCCCCCCCATATTTTAATTAAGCAATTTTAGTCCCTTAAGTATCATAATTGTACAACTTTAGTCTCTTAAGTATCATTATTATACAATTTTTTATTTATTTAAGTTACATATATTATAATTTTTATTCATGTATTAAGTGATATATATTTATTATTACTAAAATTATTTATATATAATTTAAATATGTAAAAATTTGTATAACTATTATACTTGAAATGCTAAAATCACACAATTACGATACTTTATGAACTAAAATTATTCAATAAAAAATTAAAAGATCAAAATTGTACAACTATAATACCTGAGAGACAAAAATTACTCAATTAAAATTTATGAGATTAAAATAGCATAATTGCTATATTTTAGGGACTAAAAACACATTTAAACTAGCTAAATTGCACATTTAATCCCACCATAATAGCAAATATGCAACTTTTATCCCTTTATTTTTATTTTCACAATTCTAACCCCCAATTTTATAAAATCCATAAATTTGGCCTCCTTAAATTGTAACACCAGCCATGATATGAGATTAAATAATTAACATAACAATTAATATTTCATAATATTCAAGCTAAATTTCACTTTTATTTCTCATTTTTATCACATAAGAGCAATTAAATTAGATGAAAATGAAACGACAATGAGAACTAAAAATATAATTTAGTCCATATAATTAAATATTAATTATACTATCATGATCTAATATTAGGTCATGACGAATTATATAATCTTAACGATTAATGAAGGTACATGTAATAAGGAGACCAAAATTGCAAATTTTAAAAATTTGGAGGACTAAAGTTATGCATTTAAAAAAAGACTAAAATAGGAAATTTGATATTATAGGAAGATAAAAAGCACAATTTAAATATATAAATTCATTTAAAATTTGTATAAAGAAACATTTTTAAACATATAAATTATATTTTAGATATAAAATAAATAATTTATATTGCAATACAACATTATTAATTATTGACAATTTATTTTAAAAAGTTAAAATTTAGATTATAAATAAAGACATAAAAAAACCGAATTAAATAAGAGATAAAAAAATTACAAACGCTCATATTAAAGCATAACTGGTAAAAAAACATCCTCCCTCAAATATATTGCATTTAATATATAAATTGATTTAATTAACAAATAAATATAATAAAAAATTAAATTAGATAAAAAGTTAGAAAAATCCCCATCAACACTCCAATAAAATATAACCCAGAACGATCTTACACAAGATAAATATTCTTATTTAATATAATTTTATTTATCTTTTGGATGGCCATGCATTGTATTGCTCTTTTATATAAGTATATAGAACTAATTTGAGTGAATGTTGTGTACACACTACAACTAAGTGTACCAGTCTAGTTCAGGCAATCTCGATAGTAATCAGAAACAAAATGTCAACGTCAAAGATTGAGGGGGTAACCTCATTTCTAAATTTGTATTAGACCAACTTGATATTTAATGTATCTCCTTAATAGAATCAATTTGGGTATTACTAAAAGGTGTTAGAAAATAAAAGAATCTCTACCACTTGGCTGGCTGTTCTTTGAATTTTAATCTTGAATGATCTTGACGTTCTTGGTCAGTGCAAGCAAAAGTTCTTATCTGCAACGGACGTGTCACAAAAGAAAGATTATATCACGCACAATATTTTTCCTAAACTAACATGGAATTAAAAGAATTACACACGCACATTGGTAACAAAAGAAGCAATTGAAGTAAAAGACATTGAATTCACATTTTAAAAGACGGAACGCAATAATGATGTCTCGTATGGCCATATTTTCCTTTAATATGAATTACGCTGGAACAATGTCCGTTTTGCTGCAAGCATGCAACAGGAACAATGTCTCCTACACAAGTATGGACTTTCATTAGCAACGATAACACGTTTCTTCTTTTCACAGCTCTAACTGACGTGAATTTCTGGCACTCGCAAAACTCGAAACAAATGCAACCTGCATTTATTAAAAGACTGTTCAATCCAATTTAAACGAAGATAACAAGCATTGATTGACTAGATTAAAATCTATAAAAATGTAGAACAAATAGAAAGCCATTGTAGAAAAGCAGGGTCAGTAAGCCTTAAGGCTGCTGCTGGTATTGCCACAGAGAGGTTGAGCATTTAAAGTACCTTTTATCAAAAATAGAGTGTCAGAACAGGAAAAAGATGAAACTTACCATTAATCGGAGTCCAACCATTTGGGCAACTAACAATCTCGAAGATGGTGACAAACCAAACAGTAGCAACAATATTGGCACGTGACTCACTAGCATTAGCATTCACCATTCATGCTTATCAAAGTGGTATAATGTATGTTAACTGCAGAGCTATTTGATTGCTAAAGATGCTGAAGCAGCAGCTGCCTCTGCTATTAAGGAAATAGGTTGATGTGCCTGGAGGCAGGCACCAATATCGAACGGATGCAGCTCAGAACCATCGAAAATAAGATTTACTCCAGGAAGGATTACATCTTTACTATCATCTGTTTCAGCTTTTATTGTGTTGTCTTGAGTAGCTTCATCAATTGGCCTTGTGGAAGCTTCTTCAATGGGCCTTGTGGCAGCTTCGTACACAGGAGTTAAGGCATAAGATCTGCATGCACCATCCAAAGGTATACAGTTTCTGAGAATTTGAATGATTAGGAAACCAAAATTGAGCTATAATGAACAGATAGAAGGAGTTACACCAAGTTTCTAAATATTTCAATGCCTTAGGTTTGAATAAAGTATTTCAATTTTAATTTTAAACTACAATAATAATAATAATAATATTATTAATAATAATAATAATAATAAATAAAAGAATAAAAGGAAAAATAAATATGATACCAATGCAGCAATATCCCGCTAAACAGTACAAGGTTCATATTGGTTAGCATGGCAGCATTTTAGGAATACATATTTCATTACAACAACAGGCAGTTGCAAATTTTGTGAAGGTATTAAGCACCCCTACAGCGCCCTCAATCGGTACCCTATGATGAAGTTAACATGATAAGAATTAATAAATTAAATATTGAATCCCCTTTATTAATATTTATTTACATATTGAAAAATTAAATTATACGAATAACTCTAAAATATCTACATGATTGCGTTCGTTATAAATAAAAGATAGAGATAAAGATGATAAATAAAAGATATAGAAGAAGATTGTTTGAAATACCTCTTGAACAAGCTCTATTGAATCTGGCGGTGCTACCTCTTCTGTCCAAGGCCTTTCTTCAATTCCTTCTCCGGACCTGGACTTGATGAGCTTCTTCAACGATGAAGACGAAGATATTAACAGTATCTTCGAGGTCTTGGATAATTGGACAAGTGGTCCTTCTGAGTCGGAGAAGGAAAAAGAAAGAACCGTCGAGCAAGTTTCTGAGACTCCATCATATAAACCTTTACTTGATTCTTTTCGATCAAAGGCGTATGTTGAAGATCTTGATCAGGCCTTCCTTATTCCTGAATTCAAGACAGAGGTTGAACAAATGATGGACGATCTATTATCTTACCCGAACCTTCCTCCTGAGGTCCATTTTGAGCTGCAAGAGTTTGTCAAACCCTTTAGAAAATGGGTTACCTGACCTTAGAGGAGGCCGGCTGAAGCCTAGAATATCAGTCCAGCTTGCAGAGGCTGAGCTACAAAACTACTTCAACAACAAAGTGGGTTACCTGACCTTAGAGGAGGCCGGCTGAAGCCTTAGAATATCAGTCCAGCCTGGAGAGGCTGAGCTCATAATATACTCCTTCTTCAACAAGCAACAAATAAAGGAACATATTATCACAAGGGAAACAATACAGAAGCATCAGAGAGACGAAGAGAAGACCCGGACGAAATGTCTACGTCTTTCCTTGCCTTTGGAAAAGCAACACATTACTATTCCAAAGGACAAGTAAAGAGGGGCAGCTGTAGACACCCAATTTCGTCCGGGGGCATACAAACAAGGACATGGACCTCTGTTATGAAGGGAAGGAGCTCCCGAAGCATGCCAACAAGAAGACAGGACCTTAAAGGGCCCAAAAGCACAAGTTGAGTTTTTTATTGGCCCGGAACGGACCGTTCCAAAATCGGAACGGGCCGTTCCAAGGTCCAGAACGGGCTGTTCTAGATTTGGAACGGGCCGTTCCAAGTCTTTTAAAGGGGCCAAAAAACCCAAATTGGAACGGGCCGTTCCAAAATCGGAACGGACCGTTCCAAACTCATCCGAAAAGGGTTAAAAGGTTAACTGGAACGGGGCTGGAACGGGCCGTTCCTAAATCTGGAACGGGCCGTTCCAAGGCCGTTCCAGACCAAATCATGTGGGCTTAATTTGGCCCCAGAACGGGTCGTTCTGAAATCAGAACGGGCCGTTTTGGTTCCCCGGAACGGGCCGTTCCGGTTTCAGAACGGGCCGTTCCAGGGTCCAAATTAACGCACAACGGCCATATCCAGAACGGCCGTTCCGATTTTGGAACGGGCCGTTCTGGACCCCCTTCCTGAAGTCTATAAATAGACAGCTGGGGCTCATTTCTCCGGACTCCGAAATTTCGTCCAGACTTCCTATAGCTCGAAATTTCTCTCTTTTTCTCTCTTCCCCTCTCTTTTTGTATTTCTTGAGATTTTTGTGAGGCATTGTAGTGTGAAGGGTTGCCAAAAAGCACCCAAATCTCCATCTTTGAAGATTAATAGAGCTCGTTCAAGAGGTATTCAAATCAATTTTCTTCTCTCTATTTTATTTCTTACATTTGATAAATATTGTTTATAATAAGAGCAATCATGTAGATATTTTAGAGTCAATTGTTAATTTAAATTTTAAATCATGTAAATAATCATCAATAAAAGGGGATATAATATTTAATTTATTATTTCTTATCGCATTAACTTCATCATAGGGTACCGATTTAGGGCGTTGTAAGGGTGCTTAATACCTTCCTTACACGTAACCGACCCCCGAACCCAATTCTGGTTATCAAGGCCATTATTGGATCTTTTAAAAATCTTTTCTTTTTCCAATGTTTTGAGTAAAACATTGGTGGCGACTCCATAGAACCTATTTTCAAAACCATTGATTAAGGATTAGTCTGATGTCCGGGCATTCCTTAATTGATGAGATCTTTAAAAGGATGTTTAAACCATTAGTCGCAAGATCGGAAATTTTTGGGTTGCGACACCAATATATAAAATCATTGAGATTATAAATTTCATCGATCTCACTCTTATGCATCCCTATCCTTTCTTCCATCTAGATTCTATTATTCAATACCATTGAGTTCTAAAAACTCATTCTAAATTAATTCCTTGATAGTTAGAAATTCTAAAGTGTCTAAGTTAATAAATGATTCCCCACTTTATTAATTCGGATACTTTGCATTAAGAATACAAACTATTTCAACTAATGGTTCCAAAGCTATTCCTAGCCTTTGAAACTACTAGGTGATTTTGATTCACAGCTAGATTTAGAAAACATTTTTCAATAGAAATCTAAATCTGAAATCAAAGATAAATGATCATTTTATCCAAGCATTAAGAGCAGAATCAAAACTGGTGATACTAAATAATAGATCATTAAATATATGAATCAAAAAGAATACATTTAAGTTTGATGATTACATTCAATTCCAATTCATTCATCTGCTTGATATTGAAGTGATGCTCCAAGTATATGATTGGTTTTTCCTCCATAGAGAAGGTATGAGTGTAGGTGGTGGCTTCGCGCATTTCATCAGGAATTATGGAAGATGTGACTTCTCCTTATCTTTCCTTTTTATAATAATAATAATTTTAATATTTTATAAAATAAACACACTAGTTAAATAAAATACATTTGATTGTTATAAATATTTTATAAGTTATACATAATTTGTTTAATTAATTAAAGGTTCGTCTTAGGACAAACGTTTATAAGGTACTAATACCTTCCTTACACGTAATCGATTCCTGAACTCAACATTTGATTTTCATAGACTATTTTCTATTTTGTAGTTTTTTTAATATTTTTTTTAAATATAAACATTGATGACGACTCCATATTTATTAAAAAAAATTATTTTGTTATCCCATGGCGAATGAGGTTGCTACATATATTATAGGATAATTTTGGTTTACTTGCTATTAGATTTCATTCTTGTTTTACTTCATTTTTTTTATTTCATTTTATATAAGTTTAGATCTTATTTTGATGACATAATTAATTAAAATTGGTTAAATGACAAATAAGCTATTTTTCAAATAATACTAATTTATATAAAATCTTCCAAAATGAGAGATTTATATTAAAAAAATTATGATTTTATCATGATTGAAATGGTAACATCATAGGCTAAAATGAAACAAAGATAAAAAATATAGAGATTTGAATAGGAAAAATAATTTAGCAAATTAAAACAATAATTACTTTATATTTCAAATATTAAAAAGAGATTTAATCTTTAAAACTTGTATATCAATAAATGTATGATAGTACAATATATGATAGTACAATAGTTATTAAAAAGAGATTCTAAGGCATGCCTAGCTCGTTCGGTTTGCAAGAATCCAATTAGTTTATCGGGAAAAAAACATTAGACATTTTCATCTTCTGAAACCAATACTTTTGGTGTTATTTGACACTATATAATTTCTATATGTCTATTATGGATCTATAAACTCCCTGGGATCTATAAACTTTTTAAATTTTATTAATCAAAGAAATACGACTTTATGCAAAATAAATTTCACATGTAAAACACATCCCATATATGAAAGAAGTACACCTTTCCACATGGCAAGTTTTGATTTTATTTTAGTAGCAATAGGTAATAAAAACTATTTTTTGGGTTTAGAAAATAGGCATCCCAAGATAAAAAAAAAAAGGATTAGGTCCATAATATTGGATAGATTTTGAAGTGAGCATTTACAAAGAATCATAATATCATCAACATATAAAGTATGAGTTGGAAAACGGACCTGATTAGCACCCTCAAACCTAGAAATTTACCAAAGTTAGTCATGGTAGACAAGGCCCTACTAAGTACCTCCTCTATAATACAAAAAAGAAAAAGGGATAAAGGGTGACCCTATACCTAACACCTCTACTACAAAGGAAAAATGAGGAATGAGGAATGATCCAACCATATTAAAAAACCCGAAGGACAAAATTATAGACATCCAATAAAATGGTGTCCCAAATTAAAATTTTGAAAAAAAAAAATCTTGGAAAACCATCTAGGCTAGGGGAGCTATTGGGAGAGAGATTAAAAACAACACTTTTAACCTCCACAATAGATGGGAGAGTATAGTAAGTCTAAAGTTATCAAATTGAGTAATGGATATAGGAATGACCTTTAAAAATTTTGAACAATCAACAACATGGACATTATTAGAAAAAAGATTGATTTAAAATTATCCAAAACATGAGTATGAATATCAGTTGGATTAGATAGTATTAAATCTCCTTTCCTTAAGAAGGAAATATGATTAATAACAACTCTCAACTTAACCTTCCTATGAAAGAATATTGTATTCCTGTCACCATCAGTCAACCATTTAACTTTAGGTTTCTGTTTCCAATAATAATAATAACTTTATTGAAAACTAGGGTGTTACAGTTCAACTCCTCATGATGGAGGAAATCACACTAGAAA